TTCTTGCCTGTCACCTGACTTCTGGTATAACCATGGTAACAACTGCTCTCTTCAAAGGGGCTGTATTGTAATTTATACATATTTCAGGCATGTTTTTAAAGATTGTTTGCTTATGAGTTCTTACATTGAGTATTCTATATATGTGTCTTAACTCAAGCCTTATGTATATGTAAGTTCATATATCTCTGTGTGTACATATGTTTTTACATTATATATTTATATTATGTATAACATATAAATTATATTTGTATTATGTATAATATATGTAAATTTATATTATATACAAATATACAATATACTATATATAAACCCCTATACATGTTGGCAATAATGTTGGGTATATGTTCAGAAATAAAATATTCTAGTGAATTATTACTTAATTAAATAGAAATTATGCTTTATTGCTACCCTACAACCCAGCAATTGCACTACTGGGTATTTACCCCAAAGATACAGATGTAGTGAAATGAAGGGGCACCTGCACCCCGATGTTCATAGCAGCGGTGTCCACAATAGCCAAACTGTGGAAGGAGCGAGATGCCCTTCAACAGATGAATGGATAAAGAAGATGTGGTCCGGGCGCCTGGGTGGCTCAGTTGGTTAAGCGACTGCCTTCGGCTCAGGTCGTGATCCTGGAGTCCCGGGATCGAGTCCTGCATCGGGCTCCCTGCTCGGCGGGGAGTCTGCTTCTCCCTCTCCCACTCCCCGTTTGTGTTCCCTCTCTCGCTGTGTCTTTCTCTGTCAAATAAATAAATAAAATCTTTAAAAAAAAAAAAGATGTGGTCCATATATACAATGGAATATTACTCAGCCATCAAAAAGGATGAATACCTACCATTTACATTGACATGGATGGAACTGGAGGGTATTATGCTAAGTGAAATAAGTCGATCAGAGAAAGACAATTATCATATGGTTTCACTCATATGTGGAGCATAAGGAATAGCATGGAGGACCACCGGGGAAGGGAGGGAAAACTGAATGGGAAGAAACAAAGAGGGAGACAAACCATGAGACAAACCCCTTGCAGAAGGGGAGGTGGGTGGGGGGATGGGGTAACTAGGTGTTGGGCATTAAGGAGGGCACAGGATGTGATGAGCACTGGGTGTTATACGCAACTGAAGAATCACTGAACACTACATTTGAAACTAATGATGAACTATATGTTGGCTAATTGAATTTAAATAAAAAAAAGAAATTATGCTTTATTATTACGATTATTTTTTCTTAATATCCTTCATCTATTTCACCCATCTCCCACTACCTCCCCTCTGGCAAGCACCATTTTACTCTTTGAGTTAGAGTCTGTTTTTTGTTACTCTTTTTTTCCCCTTGTTTATTTATTTCCTAAATTCCACATATTAATTAAATCATATGGTATTTGTCTTACTCTGACTTATTCACATAGCATTATACCCTCTAGGTCCATCCATGTTGTTGCAAATGGCAAGATCGCATTCTTTTTTTAATGGCTAAGTAATAGTCCATTGTGTATGTGCATATATATTTTACAAGATATATGTATATATGTATATATCTCACATCTTCTTTATCCATTCATCAGTGGATGGACACTTGGGTTGCTTCCATATCTTATAAATAATGATGCAATAAACATATGAGTGCATATATTTTTGAGTTAGTGTTTTTATTTTCTTTGAATAAATACCCAGTAGTGGAATTATTGGATCATATGGTAATTTTATTTTTAATTTTTTGAGGAACTTCCATACTGTTTTCCACAGTGGCTGCACCAATTTGCATTCCCACCAATAGTGCATGAAAGTTCCTTTCTCTCCACGTCCTGGCCAGCCCTTATTAGTTCTTGTATTTTTGTTTCTAGACATTCTGACAGTTGTCAGGTGATATCTCATTGTGGTTTTGATTTGCATTTCCCTGGTAATTAGTGATGTTGAGCATATTTTCATGTGTCTGTAGGCTATTTGTATGTCATCTTTGAGAAAATGTCTATTCAGTTCCTCTGCCTATTTTTTTAAATCATATTTAAATAGTCCTCTGCCTGTTTTATCTCTCTCTCTTTCTATCTGGTGTGTGTGTGTGTGTGTGTGTGTTCAGTTGTATAAGTTCTTTATATATTTTGGCTATTAACCCCTTATTGGATATATAATTTGCAAGTAGGTTGCCTTGTCATTTGCTGATGTTTTTCTTCACCATACAAAAGATTTTTATTTTGGTGTAGTCCCAATAGTTTATTTTTGCTTTTGTTTCCCTTGCTTGAGGAGACATATCTAGAAAAATATTTCTGCTGCCACTGTCAAAGAAATTACTGCCTATGGTTTCTTCTAGGAGTCTTATGGCTTCAGGTCTCACATTTAGATCTTTACTCCATTTTATTTTTGTGTATGGTGTAAGAAAGTGGTCCAGTTTCATATTTTTGCATGTAGCTGTCTAGTTTTCCCAGCACCATTTGCCATTTGTTGAAGAGACGGTCTTTTATTCATTGTATACTCTTGCCTCCTTTATTATAGATGAATTAACTATATAACAGTGGGTTTATTTTTGAGCTCTCTATTCCGTCGCATTGATCTATTTTTGTGCTAGTTCCATACTGTTTTGATTACTACAGCTTTGTAGTATATTATGAAATCTGGGATTGAGATAACTCCAGTTCCTCTTTCTCAAGATTGCTTTAGCTATTTGGGGTCTTTTGTGGTTCCATGCAAATTTTAGCATTATTTATTCTGGTTCTTTGAAAAATGTTGTTGGTATTCTGATAGGAATTGCATTAAATCTGTAGATTGCTTTGGATAGTATGGACATTTTAACAACATTGTTTCTTCTAATTTATTAATATCTAATATCTTTTTATTTGTGTCATCTTCAATTTATTTCATCAGTTTTTTTTTCTTCAAGTTTTTATTTAAATTCCAGCTGGTTAACATACAGTGTAGTATTTGTCTCAGGTGTAGAATTTAGTGTTCATCATTTACAACACCCAGTGCTCATCACTACTAGTGCCCTTCTTAACCCATCCCCCACTTAACCCATCCCCCTTCCCACCTCCCCTCCAGTAACCCTCAGTTTGTTCTCTGTAGTTTAGAGTCTGTTTCCTGGTTTGCCTCTCTCTCTCTTTCTCTCTTTTTTTCATATGTTCATCTGTTTTGTTTCTTAAATTCCACATATGAGTGAAATCATACGGCATTGTCTTTCTCTGACTGACTTATTTCGCTTAGCATAATATTCTCTAGCTTCATCCACTTCATTGCAAATGACAAGATTTCATTTTTCTCGTGGCTGAGTAATATTCCATTTTATATAGATACCAACACTTTATCCATTCATCATTTGATGGACATTTGGGTTCTTTCCACAATTTGGTTATTATTGATAATGCTGCTATAAACATCGGGGTGCATGTTGCACTTCGAATTAGTATTTTTGTATACTTTGGGTAAGTAGCTAGTAGTGCCATTGTAGGATTGTAGGGTAATTCTATTTTTGAACTTTCTGAGGCACCTCCACACTGTTTTCCACAGTGACTGCACCAGTTTGCATCCCCACCAGCAGTGTAAGAGGGTTCCTGCTTCTCCACATCCTCACCAACACCTGTTGTTTCCTGTGTTAATTTTAGCAATTCTGACTGGTGTGAGGTGATATCTCATTGTACTTTTGATTTGTATGTCCCTGATGATAAGTGATTTTGAGCATCTTTTCAAGTGTCTGTTGGACATCTGGATATCTTCTTTGGAAAAATGTCTGTTCCTGTCTTCTGCCCATTTTTAAATTGGATTATTCATTTTTTAGGTGTTGAGTTTTATAAGTTCTTTTTCTTTTTTTTTTTGAGTGTTGTAAGTTCTTTATATATTTTGGGTACTAACCTTTTATGAGATATGCCATTTGCAAATATTTTCTCCTATTCCACAGGTTGCCTTTCAGTTTTGTTGATTCTTTCCTTTGCTTTGCAGAAGCTTTTTATTTTTTTTTGGAGTCCCAATAGTTCATTTTTGCTTTTGTTTCCCTTGCCTCAGGAGACATACCTAGAAAGAAGTTGCTACAGCTGATGTCAAAGAGGTTACTGCCTTTGTTCTCCTCTAGGATTTTTATGGTTTCAGGTCTCACATTTAGATCTTTAATCCATTTTGAATTTATTTTTGTGTTTGATGTAAGAAAGTGGCCCAGTTTCATTCTTTTCATGTTGCTGTCCAGTTTTCCCAACACCTTTTGTTGAAAAGACTGTCTTTTTCCCATTGGATATTCTTTCCTGCTTTGTCGAGGATTAATTGACCATATAGTTATGGGAAAACAATTCCTTTTTTATATTTTTTAACGTAACTCTGTTTTCGGTGTGGAAGGAGTGGCTAGAGTAGATGAATGTGGAAACCCGTTAGAAGACCATTAAATAGCTGATAATTGGCCAAGCAGGGAAATAATCCAGCTTTTAAACTCTGAAAGAAGAAAGTACAGTAATTATTTCTTATTGTTGGCCACATCCACAGCCAATTTTAGTCACTGTAATAGTGACTGAGCTGCAACCGTCATCTATGTTACTACATTCGCTACATCACTCCTACAATTACTATGTTGCTACTGCCCTCAAATTGGTCTTTCTGACTTTAGCCTTGCCTGCTGGAAGACAGTCCATGCTGCTGCAGCCAGAGTGATTACTCTAGAATGTGAACAGGATCATGACATTCCCTGATGGTAAACCTTTCCAGGGCTGCCCACTGATCTCAAAAGTCCAAACTCTTGAAGTGCCACAGAAGGGGTATTCAAGCCCATTTGTGCCTAGCTTTTATTTTCCATGTCAGATTAAATATTATCCACTCATATCAAACTGGGATGCAGCCAGAATGAAGAATTTCATTCCCACAGAGAAGCCACACACACTTTTATGTCTGGGACATTAGATGTGATCTTCAGTCTACATCCAACACCTCTGATGACAAATCTCATTGTCCCACTCTAACCCCCATCACACATGGAAACATATTTTGCCTGGGTCATGGTCTCCAACATTCACATCACAGGGTTTACATTACCTGTCAACTCTTCTAGAAAGATTTCCCAGTCCAGGATTGATGGTCTTCTGTCATTGCAGTTATCATTATTTAATTCCATTGCTTGCTTACTTTGGCAAACTGCCTCTTGATTTTCTGTAAGGAGGACTATTACTTTCTTGTTCCCAGTTGTATTTCCAGAGCCAAGCACCATAGTAAGTGCTTGAAAAATACTTGTTCAGTTAATAAGAATGAAGACTGAATGTTTGAATAAATGAACAGATTTAGGTGTTTTAGGTATCTTCCCCCACAACAGTATTCAATCAAAACTTTGTCACTTAGGAACTATATAGTCACCACAAATGACTTATTCAGTTTCTCAGACAATCACCTCATGGTTGGTGGCTGAAACAGGTGTGAGTTCTCATTGGCTTTAATTTTTTCCCTAATGAATCTATGGAGATAAAAGCAAAAGTATTTTTTTTTTATCATGGGTCCATATACAATCTGCAAAGGTATGAAAAAAATAAGCACAAGGGATTTCCTGGCCCATGGCTTATGTTCTTGCTGTTTAATTTCATTTCTAGCTGAGATAAATATTGAGGTTTCTGCTTTACAAAATTTTGGCTCAGGATTAGTTTTCAGAAGATTGCTGGTTCTGCTTAGGATATGCTCATCTTCTCCTGGGATGTTTGGGTAAAATCTAGGGATTATTCAGTCCAAGCATCTAATCCCACTTGCTGACTATTTCAACACTCTAGTCAGTATCATGTTTCCTGGATCTTGCGACATAATTCGGCTATGATAGATTCTATTGGTTCTTGATATTGACATTGTCCTCTGATGCTTTCAGAAACCCCTGATGCTCCCTTGGAATATCTGAAAACAAATCTAATAGCTTGTCAAGGGAACCTGACTGGACCCTGAGGTCAGATTGAGATATAATTAGGAAAAAATAAATAGATGAACCTTAATTATCTGAATAGTTCAATGCCCCTTGCCTATTATTCATAGGCCACTGTCTGCTCATTTCAGCTTTGGTCTTAGGTTTATTCTGTTAATCTACATCTTTAAAAACTACAGATTTTAGAATTGTGTGATTTTTAGCTTTGCCCCCTTAAAAATACATATCTTTCTTTCTTATCTTCATATAATTAGATTTTCTTCACCTATTTTTCCTGTAAGGCTATTGCTTTTGTGGTAAAGATAACAGAAAGGGATAACTCATTTTTATTTATATTTACATAATGCAACAATTTATTTTGAAATTCTTAGTCATAAAATGTGGTCCAAAAGTGTTTCATGAACAAAGTATTGGAAGGTTTATCTATAATAGAAAACAGAGGGAGTATTTAAATAATATGAATAAGTTTTCTCATTACATATGACCTCATTCTGAATTAATTTCCTGATTTATTTTGATTTAGACAAATTCTCCACACATGAAATATTTGTAGAGTTTAAGATGTGAATAAACTCTGAATAATTTGTTCTGTAAAGCTGCACCTTCAAAGAAAGTACTAATTATTCATTAACATGGATGTGTTTTGATATAACTTCTTATAAACTTGAAATAATTCTTAAGCAGTAAAATCTATAATTTTCTTCTATGTGGAAAATATCTCAACATTGCAACGTTAGTGGAATATGGTACCAATTTAAAGGCATGTCTGACAGAGTAGGTGCTCTATATATGGTGGCTAATTTTAATGCCTCACAATATTTTACAGTAACAGTTCATAGAATTGTGATTAAATTAAACTATTTTTGTTAATTTGTTGAATGTGTATACTTTTGTTTTAGAAAAATAAATATTTAATAATATTTTAATTGAAAATACCAGTTATTTATCTACCACAGATAATTTAAATTTAAGGAAGAAAATGAGACTCATTTATTCTCCTGCTACCCAGTAATTATTACTTTTAACGTGGTGACATATTTCTCTTCTTTTTATATTTAACATAATTAATATTTACTTTAAAAAAAACAACTCTTTGTATCTTTGCAGTAGATGAACTTTAGAATCAGTATTTCAGTTTCCCACAGAGATTTTTTTTAAGTGTTTATTTTTAATTCCAGGTAGTTAGCATACAGTATTATATTAGTTTCAGGTGTATGATATAGTAATTCAACAGTTCCATCCACAGAGATTTTGATTGGGAAGACATTAATTTAAAAGTTAATTTGGGAAGAGATGATATCTTACATTATTTGTTCTTCCCTTTCTAGGACATGATGTATCTTCCCATTTTTTTTCTCAAATTCTTTTTTAGGCCCATATGTCAAGAGCAAGAATTACTTTTTTACATAGGCCTTAAACACATCTTTTTGTACCAAACCCTGTCCCCCCCACACACATTTCTTGAATTAATTCATTGACTTTTTTTGTTGTATTTGTTTTAAGTATTTCTATCTGTATACCTAGCTCTACTTCCTAATTCATCTTGCTTTTATTTTTTGTTTGATTAACTTCAAAATCATATCACATAAAGACAATAGTTTTACCTCGGTCTTTACAAATTTTAGAACTCATTTATTTTTCTTACATTATTGATTAAATGGTGGTGTTAAAAAACAATGTTGAAAAATAGAAGTGATAGCAGATATCTTTGTTTTATTCCAAATTTCCAAATATTAGACTCAAAACTATTAGAAAATTGGAAACTATTAAAATGTAAGAAAATATTTCCAATATTTGTTGTAGACATCTTTATCACATTAAGGAAATTTTCTTCTATTTGTAGCTTACTGTGATAATTTTTTATTCCGTAATGAGCCTTGAAAAATTATTTAAAAATTTAATATGTTGGAAGATGATTAAATACATATATATTTTTTTACTCATTTAATCTAGACAAATAATAAATACTTATATTTTTAAATGATGAAACCTTCTTAAGTTCTTTGGTAAATCCGTTGGTCACAATGTGCTATTTTTCTAACACACTATTGAATGTGGTCTATGAATTAGTTAAAATAATTTAGGCTGAAAGTATCTACAAATTCTAATTCAAATTGATTCAGAGAAAAAGGGAAATTTATTAGCTCACGAAACAAGAAGTCCAAGTAGGGCATGCTAATATTTGGGTGAGTTCAGAGATCAATAATATTAAGAACTCAGGTTATTTTCATCTCCCAGCTGTGCTATCCTCAATGTGGTTGTATATGTCATTTTAATAGCTAAATTCCATTCTATTCCATGGATGAACTAGAATTTATTTAATCATTAGCTTTGAAATCATAGATTTGAAATTATATACTTAGATTATTCAAATAATTTACCCTTATGAATGACATTGAGAAAAATGTAGACTAGTCTTTTTTGCACTGTATGTTTTTGTATTTAAGTTAGAGAAGTGGCAGTCCAGGAGCAAAAGATACAAGCAATTTAAGGCTCTGATCTAGAAACAGTCTTATACCTCCAGCAGCTGTGTATGAGAGTGCCTGGCCTACTGCACACTATCTCATCCCTGTTACCGGCATTGAGCGTTGTCATTAAAAAGGAAAAAGAGAACAAAACAAAAACCTGTGGTTATGAGAATATGTATATGTATATGCTAATTAGATAATTTCCACTAACATGAGATCATGTCCATTCTGCATTATTTATCCCATAGTACTTACAGTGGTTCAGAAATTTCATCTGCTTTCATTATTTAGGGAAAAATCGTTTTGGTGAACAGGGAGCATTGAACTAATATTTTGGTGATTCACATTCTTGCAATTCAATTCCCCTTTATTTACTATGTTATAAAAACAACAAAAAAATTAATGTAAAGTGTGCGTAGTCCTTCCCACCTTCTAAACAGTGACCAACATTTCCTGTGTAAAGGCCTGAATAGAAAGGGATGGAGTTCAAATGGTCTGTGATTTACAATGCTTTGACTTAATGATTTTTTTTACTTTATGAGGGTGCAGAAATGATACACATTCAGTAGATACTGTACTTTGAATTCTGAATTTTAATCTTTTCCCAGGCTCGCGATATGTAATACGATATTCTCCTGTGATGCTGGGCAATGGCAGTGAGCCCAGCTCCCAGTTAGCCACAAGATCAGGAGGGTGAACAAGTGTAAGGAAAGGATTTGATGTATGTTGAAATTATTTTTGAATGCATAGGTTATGTTTTATGGTCCACAGCACTTCTGTGACTCTGAACCACATCATTTTTCTAGAACTTCTCATACATATTTTGATTGTGCCCAGCATGGCCATTATTAAATCCAAGATAACAAGTCAATTTTTGCCAGCATTTTAATATTTACTTTTCACTACTTAGTTCTTCCTCAATTCTTATCTATAGTAGGGATGCTTCCTTCAAGTTCCCCATCAGACAGGACAAGGAAACATCTGTTGAGTACCAACCAAGTGTGAACTCTCATTCTGGTGCTATGATGAGGGAATAATGAGGAATGTACTTAAGATCACTTGACAGAAAGAGACTCACAATTGTAGAAAGCATGGTTATTTGCCTAGCTTGATTCTGTTCCCTACTCTCTTCTTTGTGACCAAACCTGGATTTGTTCAGATGTTGATAACAAACTAATCAGCCATTTCATTTTGGAGAAACTGGCTCCATCTCCAATTGTAATGGTGGTTCGTGATTTGTTTAAATCAACAAGCATATGCCATTCTCCTGGTTATTGAAATTCTGGCTGTTCAGACTTGGAGAAAGAGCCACATTCCTTGGTGTTAGTAAGGAGGCATATTCTCATGTGCTGCTAAGAGCCTTTACATGATCCCCAGGGTAACCAGCCTTAAGATGAAGCCAACAATGTGAACAACAGAGCAAAGGGAAGGAAAGAACTGAAGTCCCTGATGATATCATTAAACTATTGAATTAATAATCCATGACATCTGTCTTCCTCTTGATTTCTTATTATAGAAGCTAATAATTTTTTAAACATTTCTGACTGGAGTTTCTGTTATTTACAGTTGGAAGCATCCTGACTAATATAACAATTAATAATTAAGTGAGAAAGTTTTGATAATTATGACATTATTTTCACCTGGAAGCCTTTATTTACTGCTATGTAGACGGGTACTTTCTGGTGTGTATTGTTATTTTTAGTGCAAACATGTTTGCTTTGTATTATTAGTAACAGATACTTTTTTTGCAAGCCAACCAATATCTCCCTCTCTTCCTTTTTCTTCATTTAAATGTTATGGTTTGAAAGTAAAAATATAGCCTAAATGTTTATGTGAACAGAT